CCCGCACGCCCTCCCCTTCGCAGCCGTCTGGAGCTTGTCCGGCTCACGAGCTCTGCTCCCCGAACCTTAACTCGTGCTCTGCCTCCTGCGGCCGCCGCCGGCCACGAGCTTGCGGCCGGACGCCCGGACTCGACACGATCCGCTGACCACCAGCAACAAAAATCCCACCCCACACCGCTCTCCAACTTAGCGAGGCCTGGGACGGGGGGCCGAGGGGCGGTCCTTGTCCAAGTTCTACCCCATTTGCTTTGTCGCTGCACCAGAATCGGATGTGCCCTGGGAAGGCGTCCACGCTCCAAGGCAAGGGTGTCTCCATGCAGTTTCTACAGCCCGAGTTTAAACTAGTCCTTTGCATTCTACCCAGCCCTCTGCAATGCGGATGTATTTTAATTCTTAAATTTTTAAGGCAACAGCTTTTTAAATAGGGCCTGATTATTTAACCTTGCATTTCTTTCTTAGTTGAAGTTTACGTGTCTACATTAGTATCAGCCCTCTCGAAAAAGGCATTCAGGTTTTCCATTAAATATATTTTTTACAAAACCAGTGCCCCGAAGGTCATCTCCCATTACACACATCACACTGCTCGAAAAGGGAAAATATTAACACCAATTTGTCGACTCGAGTTAAATAAAACTTTCTTATAATGTTGCATTATTTCTAATGTATGTTCATTTGGCCTTTTTAAAAATGGGTTATTTGATTTCAAGCACGCAGATAATCACCGATCACTCGAGTGCATATTTGTTTAATCCTTCGGTACCCCCTTCTACCCTCCTTCCCCCCAAACTTAAAAAAAAAAAGCAACCACACACAAAACAAAAACAGTCCCCATGCCAATCAACGTAGCTGTACTATGCACAAGGCAAATTTAACTATTCCAAACCATTTAAATCTCTGAATAATCACCCAATTTCAGAACCCAGTTAACAAGGAGAATTATTTGTAGTCGCTTACACAGGCACTCACATGCCTACTTAAAAACATTAACTATAATGTATGTCTTTTCCCCCTAAAACTGGAAACCATGAATTTTTAAACAAAACCAGTCCCATTATTAAAGTCAATCCCAACAAATGCATTCGCTGTAACATGATTCCCAACTGGTTTATGTTGCAAACCAGATAAGCCAAAACGACCACATACATTAAATTTGATGTGCCAGTGCAAGGAACAAGATCGCCATAATCGGACCCTCCACTGCAACTTAAAGGGCTTCCAACACACACGTTACACGATTTTCGAAAAACATTAATAATAACACACGCTCATTTGCATGCAAAGTGCAATATGGGGCCAAACCCGCCCGAGAATGCAGTTTAGTTACAGTACCACAGCCCCCACCCCACTCCCAAGCTCCACCAAAATCCCTTGCCTTTCATCTAAAACTAGATTATGGTTGTGTCATTCGAGGTCAATTTATTCACTTGAGGTATCTCTACACCAATCTGTTTTTTCATCAAAACTAGACAGACTCGACTTTGCTTGAAAAGCCCTCTTTCAGAAAAGAAAAGAAACAGCCTTATCATCGGACGCTGTGTTTAAAACCCTTCAGCTGCAGAATTATCTATAAACTTGACATTCACAGCCATTGCTTAAAACTGCAAGTCAAAGGATGTGTTGTTAGGAGCACTTACGTATTTCTTCTGAATGATATTCCTCTTGGGTCTTTCCTTGCTCATTCTGAGATCCAAATGCTGATTGCAAAAAGGGACAATTGCTTCATGAATTTAAAGCCGTCAGAAATTTGCAAAAAAATATCCTGGTGCTTTTTATTGTTGTTGGTGGTGGTTGATCTTGTAATCCGACTTTTCTTCCTCTTCCCCCAAAGCCCGATTCGCCTTGAAATAAATCCGAAATTGGGAAGGAAAAAAAAAAGAGCCAAAGACGAACGAAGCAAACAAACAAACAAAAAAAAAATCACTTTAGTAAAACACCCATAATGGAAAATTTCCCCCGAAACACACACACACAAAAAAAAAAGAAAACCGACGCCCTTCACTCCCCCCCTTTTTCCTCCAAAAACTACATCAGCGAAACGTGAAGGTCCTTAGTGTCTGATCTGTAGTTACATCTTGGAAAAGAAAAGGGAAAGGTAAATAAAAAATGTTGGAAGTCACGTTTGTGCTGCAGCAGCAGTGCGAGCAGAAGAGTCAACTCCAGCGGCGGCGGCAGCACCACAGCGAGGGCTCGCCGAGTCTCTTTTTTCCAAGCCCACTAACCAATGAGAGAGAGGCTATCCAGCCCAACTTTAAATGGACTCTGCTTTTATACAAGTTAGGGCTCCTCGGGTAATTCCCTGCCGGACGCTAGCCGAAAACTCCCACAGCTGAGCAACCAGGCGCCCGCCTACCCCGGCGCCGACCGCCCCCGGCCCAGTCAGGAGGACCCCCGCAGCCCCCTCGACTAGACACCGGAGAGGCCTCGACGAACCCTTCCCGGGCAACCCCTCAGGCATCTCTCCCACGCCGAGCCTAGGAGTGGAACTGAGAGAGGCTCCCTAGCTCAATGCATGGCACGCTCGGTCGCTCCACCTCACCCCCTTTCCCCAGCCTGCCGTTCACCCCACTGCCGCCAGACGCTAGCCCCAGCCACTGCCCTCACTTCTACCTGCAGCCGGGCTGCTGGGTACGAGTGCCCCAGGACGCCTGGCCCCGGGGAGAGCCGCCTATTCCCGGGGCACCTTAGAATCGTCCCCTTGATCTTCTGGAAGTTGTAGTCCCCTGACTACAAAATGGCTATGGCCACGGGAGCGAAGAACTACAATTCCCAGCCTGCCCCGCAAGCC